CTTTGAATCAAAATGGAAAAATAGATCGAAAACTTCTTCCGCCACCTAGTTTTTTATTATTAACTGACAATATTAATCATAATCTGCCGCGTAACACTTTAGAACAAAAATTACAAAATATATTTAGTCAAGCTTTACATATTGAATCTCCTCACGTTGAAGTTCCTTTCGGTCAACTTGGTGGAACGTCATTGGATGCTATTTTTGTACTCACATTGATTCGTCAGCAGATTTGTAATAAAGTTGACATCAGTCTTTTATTTACTAATCCATCTATTCGACAATTGGCTCAAGCAATAGAACCTATATTAGCTTTCGAAGAACTGCAAGACATAGCTTCCACAGTCAATGAAATTCATGAAACAAATGTTCGTCTGTGAAGTGGAATTGATTTACGAATAATAAATAAAGGTTGTGCGAGGAGAGATAGTTTAATGTATTCGATCAATGCCAAGACGTAATTGTTTATTGAATAAAGAATAAAACATACAAGAACAAAACATAGCGAGGGTGTGGGTGTGGATGAAGGTGTGGATGAGGGTAAAGATGCGGGTGTGGGTTTGTGTGTCAGTGTGGGTATGGGTGTGGATATATAGTTCATCTTGTATCCGCGCCCTCACCCACACCCACCCTCTAGAGTAACTTAATGTTTATATATTTTTAAAAGTTTTAGAAACGCCAACAAACTTAATAAGTTTTTCGTCATTGTCTCGCTTCTAATCGAATCCAACAGTTTTGGGCAGTTATAACACGTTTATCAGTTAAACACCAATTTTCTTCTAATTTGTTACTGTGTACCACCGTATATTCTTTCAGTAAACGTATCAATGTTAATTTAATGATTGACATAGCAAAACGCATGCCAATACATTGGCGTGGACCCAAGCCAAATCCGAGAAAAGCGCATTGTGATTGTTGTGTAATATGACGATCAGGATAGAATATACCTGGATCCGTTGGTCCCCAAAGATCCGTAGAATAGTGGAGCGAGTAGACATCAGCTTGAACGATGTCATCTAGAAAAATTAGAGAGGAAGAAGTGGAAGTTTAAATTGATAAATGCTGGGCGCAACATTGAGTGAAATTCTTAAGAAAGTCTTCAATGAAAAATAAATCGTTTTGCCTTACATAAAGATCTCAATTTCATTTCTTATCACTGAAATTTATTCTGTGACCAAATTGACGAAATCGAGAGATATTTTTTTTATTTGAAAAACATTGTCTTAATCGTCTCAGAGAATGAAAATACTGCGAGCCTCGTCAAAAAACGCTGTTTTCTCTCGATCTAACGTTGTTATGAAGCTTTCAGATCGATGGATCGCATTATTTAAGATAAAAGGACGGAAAATTTCATTGTTTTTCATCAGATATAGTTTCCAACTATTGCATTTGAATAGCGATTAGGGAGGTGCATAATTAATCCACATAACACATTTTGTTTTTCTAATTTCACTATCTACATACCTTTTTCAATTTTAAATTCTTTTCCATGTTCATCTCTAACCACCGTTTCTTGTTCACACTGACGGCTAAGTTGCTGTATTGCAATCGGGTACATTCGTAAAACTTCTCTTAGAAATCTATCCAGATATTCAAATTTTTTGATAACCACATCATAACTCATCTCTCCTTCGTCTTCATATGAATCGATTTCCATTTGTAACTTCAACTGTTCCTCTGGATGAGTCGCTAAGATATAAGTAGAATAGACCATAGTCGCTGCTGTGGGTTCGTAACCAGCAATAAGAAATGCAGAAACGTTTTGTAAGATTTCACCATGAGAAATCGAGCCATCCTTTTGAAATTAAAGAAAAGAGAGAGAGAAGGGATTGTTAAAACTGCTTTGAACTTGAAACGTCCGTTTCAAAGCCCTCAAAGTTACTAGATTTAAAACATGATGTGTTACCTTATTTGTAGCTTTCAATAATAAATGTACTAAATCAATTTTTCCAACATCGTCACGACTTTCTACTCCTAAATCAACAATTTCTCGAACTTTTTCTCTGATCCAATATCTTGGAAATTCACCAAATTGAAAAAAATTCTGTTTTCCATTCAAAAAACGTTTGAAATCATCTTGTGATCTGTACAATTTTTCAATTAATTGTGAGAGAAACGACGTCGAACCAAGTAAACAAGTTAATTTTAGCCATAGAGATTGTGTAAGATCAATTGCAAAGACCTCTTCAACTTTTTGATAGTATTCTTCGGAAGGTGAATTCAAACCATAGCAACAGGAACAAATTATATCAAATGTAAGACGTTTGTAAAAAGTAGAGATATTGATATCAGAAGAACCAGTTGCAGAAAGTTTGAAAAGAAATTGAGTGACACAAGAATTCATGTATGGAAATAGATCCTAGAAAAATAGAAGACAACTTCTATTACGATTTCTCAATTTAAGAGGAGAGTCTAGTTTACAAGATTCAAGAGAAGCCTTTGGAAAAGTTTCTGAACCCATACGAAGCTCAATGACATTTTAATACATCCTGCGATTTACTTACATCTTTGATTTTGATCTGAAGTTAACTCTATAGCACCTATGAACTCACCTTTAATTTCATTGTTGAAAATATTGTATTCATTACTTTTCTCTGTCGTTTCCACGTCTCGCTTTTTGCATTCAGCAGGCTTGGATACTTTTCATTTGGATTAAGAAAAATTGCAATTGGTCTACGTGACGTAAACAATGAATATTGTCTAATAAAGACATCTTCTAGAAACTTCACATCGCTAACAACCCAAACCCGTTGACGAGCACCTTCGTAGAGACCGTAGACTGGTCCATATTTTTTGGTCCAAAGTTGAATTTGCCGACAAATACTTTGACAGTTCCATAGTTCACGTAGATTACCAAAGAAGAGTGAAGTATGAGGACCAGGAATTGAGCGTGAGGAAAAGTACCGAAGTGAACGAATTTGGTGGTAGAGAATCAGAAAAATCACGAATAAAAACAGTGTAAGAAACATTTTTTGTGTGCACTAATGATATGAAATATAAGCAAAAAAAAGAGAAATGAAAAACAAAACGTGCATGTGTTTAGAATGCATGACGGTACACAAAATAATGTTCGTTTACCTTGTAATGCATTGATATCAGCTAGTGACGTTATATTGCATGCCTCTTATATAAAAAACACGCTTCGTTTGCAAAAGTTTGTTCATTTCATATAGAAAAAATGGACCAATCAAAATCAAGTCTATAGTTTACCATATATATTTTTTTTCTCATCTATCTCTGTAAATTATATAATTAATTGATAAAACTAAATTATTATTTCTCAATCAAGTTCTACTCACACAACATCAACAATTCTTTCAGATAATGTTATTGACAAGAATCATGTTATTGATAATGAGAAGGTTCACAAATTATTCAATAAAACAGCTACAGATTTATTTAGTTGTAAAATATGCCAACAAGTAAAGTGTATTTTTTTCTTTTGCAAGATTTCAGCACTATCATATGCTAAAAAATAGTTCCTCACTCATTTTCGTCCAGATAAAAGAAAAAAATCTATATCAGAGCTTTCTTTTTTCTTATAAATATTTTTCATTATTACAGTTTATAGTTTTGTATAGTTATTACTCTTTACTGTTATGTGTATTTATATTAAATAAATTTCTTTTATTGTTAGTCATCTTTCCGTTCAAACGGTTGCTCATGATGGTGCATTTCAGTTTTTCTTTACACAAATATTTTTTATGTTATGTTTACAAATTCATATTCTTCTATAATTCAAGATACATCTTATTGAGAAGCTTAGATATGATACTAAGGTTTGAATAGAATATTTTCCATTTTTTTGCAGCTTTCTCCTTATATATATAATTATTCAGAAATCTTTCTCTTGAGTATCTAATCGTCTCTTCTGACTTCAAAATAACTTATATTGCTATATATAAATATGCTACATTTCTAAAAAGGATGTGCGTGTGGGTATATATCACCTCTTTCTCCTCATCCTACAGCCACACCCGAGCAATCCTTTCACATAACAGTAAAACAATTTTACACAAATATTCAACATTGTATTTACTATTCTCCCAAACATAGAATGGTAACTATAAAAGTATTTATTTCTCAAATAATTCAGTTTCAAACAATGAAATAAAAATTTTGATAAAATATCAGCATATATTGTAATGATTCTACTGTAT